TGAAGTTCCTTCTCTGGAGGTTTTTAAACAGAGGTTGGATGTCCACCTGATAGGAGTGGTTTGTGTGTTTTTGCATGGCAGAAAGGGGTTGAACTGGATGGCCCTTATGGGCTCCTCCAACTCTATGATTCTGTTATTATTATACTATTTTTTCAGCATGGACTCAACGTTCTTGGGTCACTTGCTTCTCAATGCAAACGGATCTTGCAGCACCTTTGAAACTGAGGGAAAGTAACTGGTAGCACAAGGTTTTGTAAATAGCTTTTATCTACAGTCAGCCCTCCACATTTGCTAAGGTTAGAAGTGCAGGAGCCCTACAAAATGGAAAAGATCACAAATAAAAAAGTACAATGCATTGTCAAAGTATATGTATTGTTGAAGGCTTCCATGGCTGGAAATCACTGAGTTGTTGTAGCTTTTTCGGGCTATATGGCCATGTTCTAGAAGCATTTTCTCCTGAAGTTTCACCTGCATCTATGGCAGGCATCCTCAGAGGCACAATGCAATGTAATGGCTCAATGATACAGAATCAAGGGAGTTGTCATTTCACAAGTTTTGTAGCCTTCTATTCCCAGAGTGCTGGTGCATTGCCAACTTCCAGCTGCTACCATCCCACAGCACTGAGTCCTGGTAGTTCAAGTGGTGCAAAAACTGGACTAATACTACAGTACAGATGCACTCCAGGGTGCTTTCTCCCTGCCTATGTGTGATGAGCAAGCAGTGACTGACCCTGTTGTTTATTCGTTCAGTTGCTTCCGACTCTTCATGACCTCCTGGACCAGCCCACGCCAGAGCTCCCTATCAGCTCTGTGACCACCTCCGGCTCCTTCAAGATCAAGGCAGTCACTTCAAGGACACCATCCATCCATTTTGCCCTTGGTTGGCCCCTCTTCCTTTTTCCTTCCCTTTTCCCCAGCATTATTGTCTTCTCAAGCTTTCCTGTTTCCTCATTATATGGCCAAAATATTTCATCTTTGTATTGTCAAAGGCTTTCATGGCCAGAATCACTGGGTTGTTGTAGGTTTTTCAGACTGTATGGCCATGTTCTAGAGGCATTCTCTCCTGACGTTTCACCTGCATCTGTAGCAAGCACCGGGATTGTGGTGCAGCTGGCTGAGTGTCAGCTGCATTAAGATCACTCTGACCAAAAGGTCATGAGTTCGAAGCCAACCTGGGTTGGAGTGGGTTTCCAACCAATTGTGTGTAGCCTGTTGTCGACCTTTGCAACCCGAAAGACAGTTGCATCTGTCAAGTAGGAAAATTAGGTACCACCTTAAAGTGTGGGGAGGCTAAATTAACTGATTTATGAGGCCATAAAGAAGACTCCAACAAAGCATTTCAGCGGGGAAACATGCGGGGAATGCGGAAGTGCTTCATCAGTGTCGCAGATGGATGATGAAAGCGACAGCTCTCCTGGCGGCCAGAAAAAGTTAAATAGCCTCTGTGTATGTCTGTATGTTTGTATGTCAAAAGTTGGCATTGAATGTTTGCCATATATGTGTACACTGTAATCCGCCCTGAGGCCCCTGCGGGGTCAGAAGGGCGGAATATAAAAACTGTAAATAAATAAATAATAAATAAGCATCCTCAGAGGTTGTGAGGTCTGTTGGAAACTGGGAAAATTGGGTTTATATATCTGTAGAATGTCCAGGGTGGGAGAAAAAACTCTTGTCTGTTGGAGCGAGGTGTGAATGTTTCAATTGGTCACCTTGATTAGCATTTGATGGCCTAGCAGTTTTTAGGTGTCGCTTGTTACCGCCTAGGAAATTCCTTTGTTGAGAGGTGATTAGGTGTTCCTGACCTGATTGTTTCTTCTCTGGAGTTCCCCTGTGTTTGAGTTTTGTTTTTTATTTGTTGTTGTTGTTGTTCATTCGTTCAGTCGTCTCCGACTCTTCGTGACCTCATGGACCAGCCCACGCCAGAGCTCCCTGTCGGCCGTTACCACCCCCAGCTCCCTCAAGGTCAGTCCAGTCACTTCAAGGATGCCATCCATCCATCTTGCCCTTGGTCGGCCCCTCTTCCTTTTGCCTTCCACTTTCCCCAGCATGATTGTCTTCTCTAGGCTTTGCTGTCTCCTCATGATGTGGCCAAAGTACTTCAACTTTGTCTCTAGTATCTTTCCCTCCAGTGAGCAGTCGGGCTTTATTTCCTGGAGGATGGACTGGTTGGATCTTCTCGCAGTCCAAGGCACTCTCAGAACTTTCCTCCAACACCACAGCTCAAAAGCATCGATCTTCCTTCGCTCAGCCTTCCCTAAGGTCCAGCTCTCACATCCGTAGGTTACTACAGGGAATACCATGGCTTTGACTAGGCGGATCTTTGTTGCCATTCTGACGTCTCTACTCTTTACTATTTTATCGAGATTGGACATTGCTCTCCTCCCAAGAAGTAAGCGTCTTCTGATTTCCTGGCCACAGTCTGCATCTGCAGTAATCTTTGCACCTAGAAATACAAAGTCTGTCACGGCCTCCACCTTTTCTCCCTCTATTTTCCAGTTGTCAATCATTCTTGTTGCCATAATCTTGGTTTTTTTGAGTTTAGCTGCAACCCGGCTTTTGCACTTTCTTCTTTCACCTTGATTAGAAGGCTCCTCAGCTCCTCCTCGCTTTCGGCCATCAGAGTGGTGTCATCTGCATATCTGAGGTTGTTAATGTTTCTTCCAGCAATTTTCACCCCAGCTTTGCATTCATCAAGCCCCGCACATCGCATGATGTGTTCTGCATACAAGTTAAAAGGTTGGGTGAGAGTATGCAGCCTTGCCGTACGCCTTTCCCAATCTTGAACCAGTCTGTTGTTCCATGGTCAGTTCTCACTGTTGCTACTTGGTCCTTGTACAGATTCCTCAGGAGAGAGACAAGGTGGCTTGGGATGCCCATCCCACTAAGAACTTGCCACAATTTATTATGATCCTCACAGTCAAAGGCTTTAGAATAGTCAATGAAGCAGAAGTAGATGTTTTTCTGAAACTCCCTGCCTTTCTCCATTATCCAGCGGATATTGGCAATTTGGTCTCTCGTTCCTCTACCTTTTCTAAACCCAGCTTGAACATTTGGCAACTCTCGCTCCATGTATTGCTGGAGTCTTCCTTGCAGGATCTTGAGCATTACCTTACTGGCATGAGAAATAAGGGCCACTGTACGGAAGTTTGAGCAGTCTTTCGCATTTCCCTTTTTTGGTATGGGGATATAAGTTGATTTTTTCCAGTCTGATGGCCATTCAGGTGTTTTCCATATTTGCTGGCAAATGGCATGCATCACCTTGACAGCATCATCTTTTAAGATTTTAAACAGTTCAGCTGGGATCCCGTCGTCTCCTGCTGCCTTGTTGTTAGCAATGCTTCTTAAGGCCCATTCAACCTCACTCCTCAGGATGTCTGGTTCTAATTCATTCACCACACCGTCAAAACTATCCTCAACATTCCGTTTTTTATTTACTGTTATAATTTTATACTTTTTAAAATACTGGTCACCAGATTTTGTTCATTTTCATGGTTTCTTCCTTTCCGTTGAAACTGTCCACATGCTTGTGGATTTCAATGTCTTCTCTGTGTAGCCTGACATGGTGGTTGTGAGAGTGGTCCAGCATTTCTGTCTTCTCAAATAATATGCTGTGTCCAGGTTGGTTCATCAGGTGCTCTGTTATGGCTGACTTCTCTGGTTGAAGTAGTCTGCATTGCCTTTCATGTTCCTTGATTCGTGTTTGGGTAATGCTGCGTTTGGTGGTCCTTATGTAGACTTGTCCACAGCTGCATAGGATACAGTCGACTCCAGCAGAGGGGAGAGGATCCCTCTTGTCCTTTCCTGAATGTAGCATTTGTTGGATTTTCTTAGTGGATGTGTAGATTGTTTATATGCTGTGTTTCCTCATCAGCTTCCCTATGCAGTCAGTGGTTCCCTTGATGTACGGCAGGAACACTTTTCCTCTGGGTGGATCTTTGTCTTTACTCTTGTGGCTTGTTCTTGGCCTTGCAGCTCTTCCAATGTCTGAGGTGGAGTATCCATTGGCCTATAAAGCCCAGTTTAGGTGGTTAAGTTCATCTTGGAGGAAGTGGGGTTCGCAGATTCTTTTTTGCATGGTCTGCCAGGGCTTTAATGGTGCTTCATCTGCCTCTAATATCCTTCCCTCCAACGAGCAGTCGGGTTTTCTTTCCTGGAGGATGGACTGGTTGGATCTTCTCGCGGTCCAAGGCACTCTCAAAATCCAACAAATGCTACGTTCAGCAAAGGACAAGAGGGATCCTCTCACCTCTGCAGGAGTCTACCGTGTACCATGCAGCTGTGGACAAGTCTACATAGGGACCACCAAACGCAGCACCCAGACACGCATCAAGGAACATGAAAGGCACTGCAAACTACTCTAACCAGAGAAATCAGCCATAGCAGAGCACCTGATGAACCAACCTGGACACAGCATATTATTTGAGAACACAGAAGTGCTGGACCACTCTCACAACCACCATGTCAGACTACACAGAGAAGCCATTGAAATCCACAAGCATGTGGACAATTTCAACAGAAAGGAGGAAATCATGAAGATGAACAAAATCTGGCTACCAGTATTAAAAAACTCAAAAATTACAACAGCAAAACAACAGAGAGTTAACAATCAGGCACATCAATTCACTCTCAACAAGAGATTCCCCCCAGGCGCTTCCAGGCCATTGAATGCAAATCAAGGTGATCAGCTGAAACATTACCCTGGTCATTCCACAGATATATAAACCCATTTTTCCTACTTCCAACAGACCTCACTACCTCTGAGGATGCTTGCCATAGATGCAGGCGAAACGTCAGGAGAAAAATTGCCTCCAGAACATGGCCATATAGCCCGGAAAAACCTACAACAACCCACTCTCAGGATTTTCCTCCAGCACCCACTGACCCTACTGTGCTCGTCGGCGTAGGTCAGGTGTGGTTCCCCCTGCGCTCCTCTAGGGGGCGCGCGAGGCAAGGCGGCGCTGGCGCTGCTGCTGCTGCTGCTGCTGCTGGCTCTCCGGCTCTCCGGCTCTGTGTCTGTCGGGCGGGCGGGCGGCATGGGGCTGTGAGGCGGGCGGGCATCGCCCAGGCCCCTCGCCCGCCATGCCAGGCAAAGCCCAGCACTTCCAGGGGCCTCAGGTCAGCTGCTGCTCCAAGTACCTGCTCTTCGCCTCCAACGTGCTCTTCTGGGTGAGACAGACACAGAGGGAGGGGCGCGCGCGGGGAAGAATGGGGGCGCGCGCCGGATCGCACCGCTGTGCTCCCGGGGTGCGGGGGGGGGAGGGAGGGAGAGAGGGAGCGGGCGGATAGCCCACTCTGGGGGAGTCCCGGCCCGCTGGCGCTGGGTCATTCCAACCCTTATTGTCCGCACCGAGCTTGGGCCTGCCTTGGAGAGATGGGGGGGGGGGGGGTACGATGCCTGCCGGGAAACCAGCAGGACCTCCTGCCTTTTTGTGTCGGGAAGACAGAGAGCCCTTCCTAGGCAAAAGGGGAGGGGTCTGTTATGCTCTTGAGGGGCCCCTAGGTGCCTTGTGGGGTTACTCCGCGAGGAGAAAGGTCAGCCTCTAGGACTGCTCCATTTCCCCCACACTTAGGGTGGAATGAATGCAGTTTGGCATCACTTTATTGCCTGGGAACTGGAGTTTAGTGTGGCCCCAGCACTCCTTGGCAGGCAAACCTCCTCGTACTCCGACTCCCTTGGTTTCATAGCACTGAGCCATGCCTTTATTCTACAGTGCAGGCACGGGCAGACCAGGTGTTTTGGACTTCAACTCCCAGAAATCCCAGCCAGCTTGCCGGCTGCTAGGAATTGTGGGAGCTGAAGTCCAAAACACCTGGAAGGCCCAAGTTTGCCCACGCCTGGTGTAGATAATAATAAACTTTATTTATAACCCACCACCATCTCCCCACAGGGACTTGCGGCAGCTAACATGAGGCCAAGCCCAAAAATAATACAACATAATTAGACACAGAACAACATAAAAAACATCATAACAAAATATATAAATATAAAATAACAAATAAATGCACCCTAAGAAGCAGAAGCAAGTATCCCAGAGCAAACCTATACAAATAATAATAATAATAATAATAATAATAATTAAAAAACTATTTCTGGACTGCACCTCTTTCCCAAAACGGACTTAGGATGGTTTACAGCAGTTTACAGCAGTTTACAGCAGTGGTCCCAGCCAGTTTACCAGCTGTTAGGATTTCTGGGAGTTGAAGGCCAAAAACATTTGGGGACCCCAGGTTGAGAACCACTGGTTTACAGCATCAGAACAGACCAACTTTCAATGCGTTGCAAAGTAAACAAACAACATCAGGAGTAATACAAAATAATACACAGTCATAACAGTAAACTTATAATGAAAGAATTAAATGTTGGAATAGGGAATGAAACAATTCTGTGAAAATAATATACTTTGCATGCTTTTTTTTTTTTTGGTCGTGTCAGGAGTGACTCCTGGTGTGAGAGAATTGGCCATCTGCAAGGACGTTGCCCAGGGGATGCCTGGATGATTTGATGTTTTTATCATCCTTGTGGGAGGCTTCTCTCATGTCCCCGCCTGAGGAGCTGGAGGTGATAGAGGGAGCTCATCCGCCTCTCCCCGGATTCGAACCTGCGACCTGTCAGTCTTTAGTCCTACCGGCACAGGGGTTTAACCCACTGCGCCACCATGCTAATAATATACAATATCCTTGAGATCTCCAAGCGTGCGTTTGCATTGGAGAATAATTGTGGTGTAACCCCACCTTAACTGCCCTGATTCAGTGGTGTGGAATTGTGGGAGCTGCCCCTTTATAAGGCCTTTAGCCTTCTCTGCCAAAAAGTGTGGGTGCCTCACCTAAACTGCAACTCCCATAATTCCAGATCAGGGTTCAGTTCTTTACTTGGCTATGGAAACCCACTGGATGACCTTTGGAGTCGCATAACCTCAACCCCAGAAAACCTTGTGATAGGGATGCCATAAGTCAGAAACATCATCAAGGCTCACAACAACAACAACAACAACAACAAAAAGGAAATGAGTGAGAGGTTGTGAGCTCAGGGCACCTTTTCTTCCCCGTGGATATTTGCATGCCTCTCAGCCTCCAATTGAATATGTGGTCCAGTCATATGTGCTCTAAAACTCTTTGGCAGGCATGGACAAACTTCGGCCTCCCAGTGTTTTGGACTTCAACTCCCACAATTCCTAACAGCCGGTAGGCTGTTAAGAATTTTGGGAACTGAAGTCCAAAACACCTGAAGGGTCGAAGTTTGCCCATGTCTGTTCTTTAGGGACCAAATTCCAAGAAACATAGTTTGAAGTGCTAAGCTCAGAGGAAGGAGCCTGCTTTCTCTCTATTGGCATCCCCCCCCCCCCCCCCCCCCCCCCCCCCGGCCAAAGGCTCTGCTGATAAAGGGAGAATCAAACAAATCCTCAATTGCACCTGCTGGCTGTCCTTATCAGAAGCAAATTCCTGAAATTGGTTGATTGGCTTTGAGGGACCAACTTAGGGAATGTGGCAGAGCACTGAATGATTTGCTTAATGCCTGAGAAATGCATCCAAATTGCAGGGGTCTCCCTTAGTCAGGTAAGAGCCAGACAGTGAGCAGGTATGCTTGCAAAAACCAGCCAGCTCTGCAACTCAGCTTGCTCAAGAGGAAAGGAATGCAGACCAGAGCCAGGTGTTGCACGATCAGAACAAGTGAATTATCTTGGGGAAGAGAGCAAAGGTTAACATAGCCTTTCCTTATTACTGCTATCATTATTATTTCCTGCTTCCAAACTTGTGGGGTTTGAAAAAACGAACACATGAGGGTGCTTGACTCTAATTAGTCCATTAGTCCATGCAGTCAAAAATTGGGATGCTCTAGGTTTTTCGGGCTGTATGGCCATGTATCCTCAGAGGTTGTGAGGAACATGGCCATACAGCCCGAAAAACTTGCAGCAACCCAGTTATTCTGGCCATGAAAGCCTTTGACAATACATGGTCAAAAATCGTTGGGTGGGCATCATCTCAGGAGAAAGGTCCACACATGGCCTGTGTACTTGAGGTCTTTAGAGTTGAACCTGGAATCTTTATATACAAAGTACAGTCATCTGCTGGGGTTAGCAGCCGAGCCCACTGTGAAAGTAAAAAACCATAAATAAACACATTTCTATTTATTTTACCCAAGAGACCACATCTCTGAAAATATCTAGGACTTCCAGTATGGGAAGCTGAATCACATTGTAGAGGACCTAAAGATTCCTAAAGAGGTGTTCTCTCTAGAAATCTCTAAGTCCTGCAGCATGAGTAGAGGAAATTGGCCATAGAGCCACACACTGGAGGACCTAGAGAACATTTTAATCAGATCTATGAATAATCAAAACCGCAAATATGGGGGGGGGGGGATGATTGTATGTAGTGTTACAACTCAGCTTTATGCTCTACACTTTTTTCTTTTAGCATTTCCTTCTTTGGTGTGATATATATATATATATATATATATATATATATACACACACACACACACACACACACACATACACACCAAAGAAAGAATATATACACACACACATACATGCCAAAGAAGGAATATATGTATGTGTGTGTGTGTATGTGTGTGTATGTGTGTGTGTATGTGTATGGGGCAGAATTCTCCTAGCCCTGACAGAAAAAAAGTGGTAAGTAATTTTCTGTCTGTTAATGTTACATCAGATTTCCTGCATTCTGTTAGATTAGATTCAGCAGAACAGCACCCAAAGTTAGCTGCTTTTGTGGGCATGCACAAAGAAGTTCTTTAACTCATTACTCTTGATCAAACTTGTATTCATTGCTGTGAATTGCATGCTCAGCTCATCCTGGCCAGGAGCCTTTTGTTTGGTGAGCGTCTTTTCTATTTGGATCTGTTCTTTTGATTTGCTTTGTGCCTATGTTTTTCATTCAGCCCTTAACCCGCACCCCTCTGAGATGCCTTCTCTTGTTCTCAGGTGTATTGTTGAATTTGTAGCCAGTGCTCTGCTCTGGCTGCTACAGTGGGATGTACCAAAACAAAAGGATATGAAAGGAAAGGATAGTTGGCTGGGAGCAGCACCTGTACTAACAATGTGAGCCAGCAGAGATTGCTCAGGAAATAGATTACCATACCTTTTCTACCCCTGAATGTTATCTGAGAAAGCTGGTAAACATCTGAGAGCATTTTAGCTGGGAAGTTTGTTATTTATCACTATTTCCAACCTTTGCTTTTTTCTTCTTGTGATAGTTGTGGGAAGTTGTGCTATGGGGTTTTGAATTCACCTTCCTGATTGAGTCTGGATTTACACTGCCATGTAATCCAGTTTCAGAATGCAGAATAACTGCATTGAACTGGATTATGTGAGTCTACATTGCGGTATAATCTAATTCAATAGAGTTAATCTGCATTCTGAAACTGGATTATATAGCAATGTAGATCCAGCCTGAGTGATTGGCAGACTTTTGATATGCAGTATTTTTTTTACTAGAACTATGATTCACCAAGAGAAGCCAGGTGAAAAAAACTCAATATAGTCAGCCTCCCACATTTGCAGATTTAACTATTGTAAATTTGAATATATGTGTTTTTGATTAATATAGTCTTTAAGAATCTCTAGGTCCTTCAGTTTCCATAGTATAACAGAAAAAGAGACCAGTTTGTTGTTGCCCCTGTTAAACAGCTGAAAGTCAGAAACTCTTGCTAATCTGCTAGCAGATCCATGAACTCATTCACCCCTGGACTGTTTTGTTATTTAATTTGTTTGTGGCTTATCGACTCTAGGATTCAGTCTCCCTCTGCTTATTTGTGGTCCCCTACCCAGTGGTTGACAAATTCCTTGAAGACTTTGTGGTTAAATAGGAGTGCCTTGAAGTCCAGATGTCAAACTTGCTGTCAAAATTGATGTTTCCGCATGACTCAGCACTGTGTGATCAAATGCTTTTGCTTGCTACATTACCTGACTGTGTTAATAGGGCAAGATGCATATGATTGTGGCTACAACTTGAAGTCAATACAAATAAGTTCAAATAATAAAAATGAATGCAATAGACTGAAAAGATATTAAGCAGAATAAAAAATTAAAAGATGTAAACCAGTTTAGAACAATTCAAAGGAAATCATTGAGGCCTAAAGTCTGTGCTCAACATACACGTTTTTATTTGGTGCTTACATGGAAGCAGTTTTGGCATCCGTTGGGTCTCCACGT